AAATTTAAGTTTCTTAAGTAATTATTTATATTTGAGATAAGTTAAGAGTAAGAAATTTTATCACAGTTTTAGATATATTCTTTAAATAATTTGTTTAAATTCAGAAACATACCAATAATATATGTAAAAAGCGTTTAAAGCCTGGAATTTGAATCTTTTTGGCCTGTTGACCACATAGATTTTTGATTTTCCTCATAACATTTCTTGTTTATTTTAAAGTACTTTATTTTATTAGTATTTATTAGTCTCTTCAAACCTGATGCTGGGGGAATGTTTTCCGATCAGTCCATGGCCTTGTAGCACTGAACATTACTGTGTTCTCTAGCATATTTCCCAGTTAAGCTTAACATGGAAGAATGTTCATAAATAAGTATAAAAAAAACTCATAAAATCAGATTTTTATTGAAATATTTGGATTCTTTCAGATAGTTATTAAATGTTCATTTTTATAATATAAAGAAAAATCCTAGTATTTAAAATTAAACTTAAATTTCAAAATAAAACAAACATTAGTAATAATGATTGAGTTTACATACTTAAGTTACTTCCATACAATAATGAAGCAAACCACTTAAGGATTTAAGTACCCGTGCCTGTTATAGCTTGTCATATTTATACATAAAAGTTTAAGCTGCTTGCATTGTGTGAAACATTTTTAAACTCAATGCCCATTGTAAGTGCACATTGCACATTTTACGTTCCAAGAATAAAATAGTTAATAATGTTCATTAAAAAAAATTAACACTAAAGACATTCCACTCAAATAAGTTTCATGGCATTTCGGCATCATTTATTCTCATATTTAAAATGTCAGCCAGTGATACTTCACTACCATATCACATTTGATATGTTGGGAATATGGAAGGAAACTGAAGTGTATCATATATAATACTCTGAAATGAAGAGGCTAATAGAGCAATGAGCTATCAAGATAACCAATATACAAACAATTCACAAAGATTCACAAGCAAACCAATTCACAAAGATGTCAAGGAACTGACAACTTTTCATGGTTGTGCATATAACCAAAGCGTACTGAAACATGTCACCATATCTATTGAGAAAAAAGTCATGATTCGTAGAGTAAACAAAGAATAGTAGGCCTATATTCAGTAAACATGAATTTTTCTGTTAATTTTTAGGGACTATGTACACTGTTAGACACACACACACACACAAAAAAAAAAAAAAAAAAAAAAAAGACGCACCAAGAAAATATAAAGCAAAATGGACATAAATTGATCTGCATACAGGTTTCGACGGGAAATGCAAAATTTTACATTTTGGCTGTCAATGAATGAACGGTTGTCGCTACAGCACATCTGATCTGTGCAACTGGGAGGATATTTAAGAGGAGAAATTATGATTCCAGGTCATAAATTCTTCACGAATTTCAATCCGTGTACTCTGGTAGAGAGTAACTATGCCTTGCGTACAGGTGCGTGAACGATATGCGCATGTATCAGAATTTGAGAGAGGTCGTGTAGTTGGGTTCAAAGAAGCCGGTTGGTCTAATCGGCAAATAGGTCGACATTTGAGCAGGAGTGATGCCACCATTAGATGATGTTAGCAGAAATAGGTAAACCATGGCCGCACACAGCATCAAGAAGGAAGCGGTATGCCTAGAGAGAAATGACAGAATGTGAAGACTGAGCAATCGTCAGAGCGGCACTCATAGCCCCAGATGCATCATTATCATCGATTGTACGTGCAACTCGTGCTTCTGTGACCTCAAAGACCATTCAGAGATGGCTCACAGAAAGGGGGCTCAGGTCACGGCACCCCTTGCGCTGACTACCATTGACCTCTGTACAACATCAAGCCCGTTTGCAGTCATTTACACTGGAATGTTACTGATTGGAGTAGAATAGTCTTCAGTGATGAGTCCTGCTTTGAACTGAGTCCCGATGACCAGTGAAGGCGAGCCTGGAGATGTCCCGGACAGCAGTGTGATACCAACCTGACTGTCTTCCGGCAGACGTTCCAACAACCAGGAGAGATAAGTCTGGGGTGCCATTTCATTTCATAGTAGGACCCCTTTGGTTGTCATCCATCGCAACCTTACAGCACAGCGGTACATCGATGAAGTTTTAAGGCCGTTGTGTTGCCCTTCATGTCACGCCACCCTGGGCTTACATTTCAGCAAGAAAATGCCCGCCCCCACACTGCACACATTTCTACTGCTTGCCGAACATCACGTTGGCCAGCAAGGCACTGGATCTCTCTCCTATTGAGCATGTTCGAATCATTATGGGCAGGGCCCTCCAAACAGCTTGGGATGTTTGACGATCTAATGCGGCAGTTGGACAGAATTTGGCACGATATCCCTCAGGAGGGCATTCGCAACCTCTATCAATCAATGATAACTGCTTGCATAAGGGCCAGAGGTGGACTGACTTTTTCACTTTGTGAAGCTCTATCATTTCAATAAATCATCATTTTCTCAAACTGTAATCATTTGTTTTTCTCAGGAAGTCGCCAGGGTTGTGTTGTTCTAAATAGGTGCGGGTACCGGACGACACCCAATTTGTCATATTAAGCCATCCGGGTGTCCGGGCCCTGCATTCACCTGTCACCTGTACATGTACATCACTTCTACCGATTTTCATCCCATTCGGATAACTCCTTCTTGGTACGTCGTTTTTTTTTCTCTAAGAGTGTATTTATCATCTATATGTTGTATATTTGTCTAAATTTGAATCATTGAATTTTTTTAAAAATCTGAAACATTGTGAACATTCATCTAAATCTGAATGTTATGCATGTTTTCAAGGTTGTGTACTGCTGAAAAGCCTTTCAAAAACTTTATCATTTAAATGTTTGTTTTAAAAGCACTCATATGAGTTAACTAAGCAGATGTTCCTGTAAAAAGAAGGGGGCGGGGAAGCATTTCAAACCACTAAGGCTGATAAAAAGATAATTTACAGTACATTGTAACTAAGAACTAGAGAAGGAAATTTTGTAGTTAGAAGCATTGTTATCATGTCCTTTGGAAATGTCATTCAGTATCTGCCCCATTTGCTTTATTGCACTACAGCCATCTTTGTTTCTATGACATGAATGCATGTTCATTTTATGGATTGCCTTCTGCTCTCAGGATTGAAATAAAATAATCAAGATTCATCACACATGATGATTCCATAAAAGATTTCTGAGTGATCCCAAGAGAAACCAAAAGATCATCAAATATATTATTCCTGATTTCCATCATCCCCTTATCAAGAGTCATGTAACCAGTGAGCATACATTTTTTATGTGCCTTAGTCTTTAGATTAGCATTAACACAGATCCTTTTATGATATGTATGAGTTGCCATTGCCTGTCTCATGTTTATACATTTGTCATTTTGGCTGAGTTCCTCAACGACTAGTGCATTTTCATCAGTTTTGAGGATTGACAGCCTAGGTGGCTGCAGGTGGTCCTGGATGTTGTAAATTATGATGGTTAAACCTGTGAAGCCAATGCACACATTATATTGATTCGGTGTGTTTTCCCTATAAACTGACGCTTAGTTATCCATAGATTTGTTGAGGAATGTGATCACTGTACCATTTGCATAGTGGGATATCACACTGATCTTCCATGGTGGCTTATTTACAGCAACAGGAAGTAAAAATTAATTATAAGTTAGGCAGTATTAAAGGAAAAATGCTTCTACCTATAAGATTTCATTTATGTAGTGCTTACCATTTCTGAGTTGCAGTAGATTTTTGGTCAGCTTTTACATAGTGTCTTATTGAGATGGGTTCCAGAAACTGTTGTGTAAAGGAGATAAATGAGGAGAAAATTAAACTAATTTTGAACATGACATTCATGTATATGTGGGAAAGAAAAGTAAATCACAAGAAGTGTTGGAATTGACCTCCTTTAACTTCTAAATGCAGTTCAATGTGGTTACAAGTTCATGAATTTGGCTGCCAGAATCTCAGGTTGTAAGTTCCCTGTATCACTGCCCAGATTTCATCTCTGGCATTTTGCTGTAACTGATTGAGTGGTCAAATATTTTTGTAATGACGGGACAATTTCTGGGATCCATTTTGAGTGGAACACCTCATATAGCAGTACTACTAAACATACAAATAGGAAATTGCAAACAGGATATCCAGAATTTATATTTGTAATTTATTATCTATAAAGCTTCATCAGTTGGTTAATTAAATTTCTTTGATTGCTTAGATTCACAAAGATTTCTCTTCGTTGATTAATGTGATTCTAATTCGTTTCTTGATTTATACTTTCAAAATTCTATTATCTTATCTCCTCATTTTAGTACTGTTTTCATGACAGAATGCACCACATTCTTTTTTTTTTTTTTCCTTTTCATTCTGCCTACTAATGATTGTGCAAATTTGGTTGTTTGTTTCTGTCATCTGTGCACAGATTTTTTCCCATTGAAGAAGAGGGATCTATTTCAAACAACATAGAGTTTTATTTAAAATCTGTGTTAATTTAAGATGTGTTTTTGCTTGACTTTAAATTTTTTTGTTGGTGTGTTTTTCTTTAAATTGCATTATTATTAAGCTTAACAGAAATTTGGAGAATAAATTTTGTATATGCAGCCTAGGCGGGAAAGTGGTTAGTGACTCTGATTGCCATACCGAAGAGGCTGGGTTCGAATCCTGGGGAAGGCATTGATGTGAATTTCTCTCTCTCTTCATAGGAGATAACAGTGACCCACCTATTAGGTACCTCCATAATGTAGTGACCATGGCTTCTGACCATAGTAGTAGTAGCTAATGCCTATAACAAGCTGGTGCCTGCCATTGAAATAATAATAAAAATAATATATTGTTTTTTTGTTTGTTTACTAATAAAATACTAATCTAAGTACCTTTAGATTATTTTCTATCCTGCCAGGAAGACACGAACTTATTTTTCACCAAGTTCCATATAAGAGCAATCAATCAATAAAATTAAAAACACAAGAAACATTGATAATAAAGCACTTACCTTTTTTTTTAAAAAAAAATCCTCATTTTTTGCTCTCTCCATGTACACAGCATTCTTTTCCATTTAAAAAAGTATCAGTGAATTGCATAAACTGAGCAGTCTACAGTTTCCATATTGTACAGCTGTCAAAATACATTTACTATGCACATACCTGGGTTGTCATGTAAATACTTTTTGCTGATGTCGTAGATTGACAGGTAACTATTTTGGCAGCATATCTCTTTCCCCCATGAAAATTTCGGACTGCAAATGCTCAGAAAGTACCATAATACTATATAAAATATTAAAAATAATGTATAACTTGGATTTTTGATAATTCAGTTAATAAAATAGTTGTCACTTTCTGATTATCTGCATTCCTCAGTTTCAGCTTTCAGTGGAACTGCGTATTTTTGGAGTTATTTTCAAGTATATATGTGATAACAAATAACCACACATAATAAGCAGTGATAAAGAATTAGCTGCTAAAAATGTTGCAGGTAAAAAAAGGTAAAATAAATAAATAAATAAATAAAAAATAAAAAGGAAATTGATACAATATTTGACAATCTAGAATTTTAAAATGCTATTTTTCAAGTTCCCAGATTATCAATTCTCAGAATGAAAGTAACATAAAATAATAAGCTAACAGATACACGCAGAACTTTAGTACATGCATTTATTCATATATGTGTTTATCTGCTTATATTGTGTTTATAAATTATTGGTAAAAAAAAGTTTATTTTCAGTTAGTTGTAGTTTGAGTTAAATGTAAGATGTATTTTTTTTTTTTTTTTCTTTTGTGAGTGCAAACTTATTGAATCAGGTAACAGTGTAGAAGTTTAAAAGTATGAAAAATGCAGCCAGACATCAACAAAGCTTTGAAAATCATCTTAGTGCTAGAAGATATTTCATATTGCAGTTTCTATACAAACACTACATATTTCCAGTAATAATAGATACGCTGATTGTGGATTAAATATGTAGTACTGATAAGGTAGAGTGAAGAAATGATCAAAGTGATGTATTTTACACTAGTAAATGTATATTAAATTAAATAAAAGTATCAGACTGAGATCTGTGAAACTTGCATGTTGCATACAGATGCAGATCTGTGGCTAAATAGTAAAAGTGCCTAAATGCTGGTAATTTGACATGGATACACATCCTTGTGAATGGACTGGCTGCATATAAGTTTTTGGGGTTTTCCTAATGTGTAATGTGAATACTACCCAGTTTCCATTAAAAACTCCTCCATGAAGGCAACATTTCTTTTAGATAGATAGCCTTCCTAAAAATCCAATTGCCTACTACGGTAAATTTGCTGAATACTGGTAAGTTTGACCTTAGTTTAAATCCCACAGAAGGAACTAGCTAAATGGGAGTTTCTTTGTTTTACTTATGTGTAACATGAATAGAGCCAATTTCCTGTTACAAGCTCTCTGTGAAGACTTTCTTCCCTTTAGGCAGGTGGCCTTAGTGTGCTTTACCATAATCCGCAAAAACAGCTTGCCTTTTTATAACAGAATCAGTCCTTGTTGTTATTTTTTTTTCGATTGAGTACAGAGTTCAAAGTTGGCAGACCTTCTTTCATTTATATACCGTATATGTCTAAATGTAAGCCAATCTGTGTATAAGCTAAGATTGCTTTTTTTTTAAATTTATCCAAACCTGTTTATAAATTGAAATGAAGAAAAAAAATGTATCATTCAAACATGTCACCATAAGAGCAAAAATCTTGTCAAGCAGGTAAAACAGGTACTTATGTATTATCACAACTACCTTGGTGAAGTTTGGCAAATTTTATGGAAGAAGAAAAACAGTTACTTGATTGTTTAAAAAAAAAAAAAAAAAAAAAAAAAAATTCATTATTTACATTTCAACTATATATTTATCTCTAAAATAACCAGTAAACCTAGTTACAAATAGGTTTTTGTTAATTCAGAAGTCAAACAACAAAAATCAGCGTTAATTTACAAAATTTTCACAGGACTAGTTTCGATGGTTTTACCGAACCATCATCTTCAGCTGCAAAACCGCAAAATGATGGTTTCAGCTGCAAAACCGCAAAACAAAAAGGTTTTTGTTACTGTTTTAAAAATTTCTTAGCTATCGCTTTTTGAAAAGATTCAAACCATTACTCCTTTAGAAAGTTTATGGCAAAATACTTTATTGCTCAGAAATTTCACCTGTTTCCTCTATTATAGAAAAATCCCACAAACATGAATTTTAAAATCATATTTAAAATAACAAAATAATCATAAGTTTTCTACAAAAGCAGTTAGAGCTTGCAATATAGCAAAAATAACACATTTGAAAATAGCGTTGAAAACTAAATATTTGCCATGTATATAATTGTCTGAATAATTGTTATTTGCGTGGTTGACAGAGTTTAGTGCATTCTGAAAATTTGGCAACTTCTACTAAAGTGGTTGCAATAATACGTAAAGCAAGCAAGCTGTAAAAGGTAAGCACTGTAGAAGGTTATTATTTTTCAATCAGATGACTGTAAAGTAAAACACCAGGCACCTAAAGGTTTTGACTCTGGTAATGTTATCTGAAGCTATTACATTTTTTCATTCATTTGTTGTCTTGTATACGATCTGTGGTATCTGTGTTAGCCTTATGTTCTGTGCCATTATATTTCTTGTCTGAAAGAAATTGAATATGGCAGATTGCAAACTGCAGATGATCATGTTTGATGAAAATATCAAAACCACTACTCTGTATTTCTCTGTAAATGAAAAACAAGGTCGAGAATAGAAAAACAAGGTGCAAATTTCGCTAGTATCAGATTTTTTTTTTTTGTATTACCGATGATGCACCCAACTGCAATTTTTGTATTACCGATGATGCAAGAGTGCGGATGGCTCTCCATTCCCTTTCAACCATTTGTCACAGTTCATCTTCTGAGCAAGGCAGAGGCAGAGTCTGCAAATGACATCCAATCACATCCCACACATGTTCGATTAGTGAGTCGGAGCGTGGGGTGGCAGATACTTTGCAGAGCTGTGGCGATGCAGTACTGGTGGTGGCGGATCCTGTGAAAAATTGCATTAGCACCCTGAAGGAAGATTGCCACGGCGCATACTTATCCAGGATCGGGCCATAGTGCCCTAATATAAACTAGGGGCCTGGAATCGTGGCATAGTGCCTAAATAGTGCCAGTGTCTGGCGGGGGGCATTCCACATTACTGCCGATTAATCTGTATACGTCGACACCACCATGTATGCGCGACTGTCACGGAAAAAAGAAGCGTAACGCATGAGACATAACGTTTCGAATTCTTCATCCCTTGCCCAGTCCGGCGCCATAAAGTGACTCTTTGCTGTGGGTCGTGCGTCGTCGTAATGACCAGTTGGCAGGCCTTGTTCAACATTTTCCGAGGAAGGTTCTGGTTGACAATGGGAAATCCAGGGACTGCAATGCGCAGATCGGTACAGTGACTTGGGGGACCGCCAAGCGTGGCAAGCGTCGATCCATCGATCCGCGTGCGAGTCATGTGGCTGCCTGCCACCTTCTTCCAATTTCTGGTCCAACATGTTTGCATAGCCGAAATAGTGCTCGCATCCATGTGGGAGCAGCTCGATTTGAGTAGGACCAACTCACTTCTCAGTCGGATCACCTGACCCCTCGTAAATCTGTCTGCTGGAGTGCTTCGTGATGGTGCCCGGCCTTCCTATACACGTATCCTCTGACAAAAACACTTCTTCGATAATTGTCTGTCAGAAATAATGACATGAATTTCCCTTCTCACTTTTTTACCTTATTTCTTACGTCCTTGCACGTGAGCGTGATTTCACGCATTCGCTACCGTGATTCGTCTAGCTAAATGCATAAATTTCTGACCACTCCTTCTTGGTGTTGTATTGTCAATGTCGAGCAGTGTATGTACGTCTTGAATTGTGTTTAAATTATCATGTAAAAGAATAAAGTGGCAGTGGTTACATCTTTCATATGTTTGTTTTAGGAGCTTGAGAGTTCAGTAGCCAAGCCTTTGGTCATTTGGAAATTAAGGTGTAATTTTACTTAATTTAAAACTGGATAATTTGATGGGAGTTTTTTAGGGCACCTTTATTAATTATCTTGAAGTATGCTATTATTTAAATCGCAGGAAACTTATTGATAAATCACCAGCATATGTTGCAAAACCATCATTATGTAGTCTGACACTTCTAATCATGGTCATTTAGGGTTTGCTCATTATTAGATAAGCACTGAGTAAGCTGTGTGTTATCTTATTTTCTTTTTTCATATAAATGTTATAAGCTCATGATCACTTACAGATCACTCGTCATGAGAAGAGCTTTGAGTATTGTGCATGTTAAAATGTCTTCTTTTCCTTCCCCTCTTTTTTTAAATGCTGTTAATAATTTGTAATTTACTATGAAGCAAAGATGATACAACTTTCTTTCAAGAAAGAAGCATTTTAGCTTGTATTTGGATGGCTAAAATGGCTTTGTTTTTGCTTTAGTATATTTTCCTTGTACCAGGTGTCATGAGTTTGATTTGGTTCTTTCTTGGTAATAATTGCCATGATAACCATCGCTCATGTGATCATATTTTTTATGTAATAAGTTTTTTCCCAATGGATTCCACAGTTTGAGATTGACAGGAGATAAAGAATTGGCTGTCTGTTGCTTTAAGAAAGAATGTTCTTCACAAGGCAAGATTGCATTCGAATAACCATATCATGAAATTAAAATATAACTCAAAGACATAATGTCACTCATGGTGAGGGAAAGAAAGGTGAGTCAATGCAAATGTGGTTTGTTGAGTCATGCATTCCTTTCATTGCTGCTGTATGATTCATTTGCTGACAGTTAACACCTGTTCAGTTTTGAAACTGCTTCAAATGAATCACAAAAAAGACGATTGGAAAAATTACATGAGAGAGATATATGGCAATTCCTTGCTTAATGTTAAAACTGACAAATGGAACAACTTTGTGAAAATTAATGAAAAGTTACCTGGAAAAAAAAAGTGCAGGCTCTAGTCGCACTATGAGCTTCAGGAGGATTTCTGGCATGAAATTAAAGAATGTTCTGTGGTGTTCTGTTTTCAATCATTTTCTTTCACCTAATTTTGAGCCAGTAGCATGGTAATGGAGAAAATAATCTAAAATGCATAAAGTACAAAAAAAAAAAAAAAAAAAAAAAAGCAGGGGTAATCTTAACAGATTGCAGGCACAGGAAAAATCCTTGTCTGCTGTATAGTATTTTTTGGTAATTCCTAGTTCTTATCCGTAAGCTAAAAATCTCTGGAGCTGTAGCATACACATAGAATACTAAGTAAGAAAATTTACATTATATTTAGATTCAACTGGAGTTAGTTATTATTATGATCGTTTTCAACTCTTTTACAGAATACAGGGCGATCCCCAGAAAGTAGATTAGTTTGGAATCAAAATAAACAAAGTAAGGAAACAATTTTATTATATCCGATGAAACCACACTCAAATACTACTTTTCTACATGTCCCATACAATTAAGGCTTTATCGGCGATGTACGAGCTTGGAATTTCCTTCGCGAAAATCGGCCGCCTGCCCTTCAACCATTCGTTACCTCTCTTGCAGCTGTGCGTCGTCATCAAACTGCATAGCCGCCACTTCTTCTGCTGGGAATAGGTGGAAGTCGCTCGGGCCAGGTGGGATGTACGGATGAGGAACAACTCCCACTTGAAAGATTCAAGAACTTTACGATGACATTTGCCGTGTGGGCCGGGCGTTGTCGTGAATCAACAATCTTGAGCTCAACATTCCTCTCGCTGTTTTGAATTGCCGTCTGAGTTTTGAGAGTTTGGCAATACCTTTGAAGTTTAGTGCCTCTTCCAGGAAGTCCACCAAAAACACCTTTTCTGTCCAAAAAAAGTCGCCATCATCTTCCTTGCCGACATTGTTTGCATGCATTTCTTGGTTTTTGGGGAGAACTTGTTGCCCCCTGCATTGCAATTTCGTTTCACAGTTCACATTTCACCATGTTTTCTCACCATAAGATGCATCGATTAAAGAGTCACCATTCTTATGGTAAGGTCCAAAAGTACGGCGCCTGCGCTGATTTTGTGGTCCTCTGTCAAATTTTTGAATCCATCTTGCACAAAACTTGTGGTAACCAAGCTTTTCGCTGATGTTTCTGCAACAACTTCGCGAAATTTGTGGAACTCAAAGAAAGTTCCGTTATTGTGAATTCGATTTTCACGGACATAATCGACTTTTTCGGAAGTTCGGCGGTCACCTGGGGTCTCCCACTTCGATCTTCGTCGTGAACATTGGTTTCGGCCATTTTGAAATCTTATGACCCCTGGCATCCACCTTGGATAATGTTGTCCCCATACACTTCACGAAGCTGCCGATAGATTTCTATCGGTTTTACAGTTTTTTGCGGCAGAAACTTACTGAGCGCACCCACGCCGCGCTTTCAATTAACACGACATTTCAACCGTCACAGATTGACGGAGCCAGCACGACCTCGCACTAGACGCTATGCGACTGATCTCGCACTCTCTGACCCGAATGCCGCGTAGCCCCCGCCTACGACACAGAAGGAAACGTAATCTACTTCCTGGATGGCCCTCGTATAATAAGTAATTAAAAATGCTGCTTGAAAATAAGTCTCATTTGTTCTGTATCTACATGGTTTTCCAAATTTATCAAATTTTAATATCTAAAATAATGTATTATTTCACCATTGCTTATAAT